GCATTGAGCCGGATGTCATGAAGCCGGCCCAACGCATCAGGCCACCAGTGCGTCTCCTCGGGCCGGCTTACATGGCACCAGCCTTACGCATGGTGTCCCCGGTTCGCCCACATAGCCCGGTGCGGGTTATTCCTCCTTCCCGTACTGGTCGGGCGACGGGGAGTATACAACCAGGTAAGGTTGGGCAGGCTCAGTGCTCAAGGGAGCCAGTACGCCTGCACGGTCCGGTATTTCCGGCGCCACCTCCCCGCTCCAGCCCAGTACCACCAGTGCCTACACCACGCACCAAGCCTCCTGTGTGTCCCCAGAGTCCTGTGTGCCCTGTTGCTGCTCCCCGCACTAGCCCTGAGATGCGTGTCCTCAGCCCGGGACCACCAGTTCCGGCACCACGCACTAGGCCTTATGTGCGTCCCCAGGGTCCAGCATGCCCTGTTGCTACTCCCCGCACTAGCCCTGAGATGCGTGTCCTCAGCCCGGGACCACCAGTTCCGGCACCACGCACTAGGCCTTATGTGCGTCCCCAGGGTCCAGCATGCCCTGTTCCTTCTCCCCGCACTAGCCCTGAGATGCGTGTCCTCAGCCCGGGACCACCAGTTCCGGCACCACGCACCAGGCCTATAGTGCGTCTCGGCCGGCCAGAGTCTGCCGTCTGCCCAACGGCGCCTGAACTGCCCGTCTGCCCAACGGCGCCTGAACTGCCCGTCTGCCCAACGGCGCTTGAACTGCCCGTCTGCCCAACGCCGTCTGAACTGTCCGTCTGCCAAGCGCTGCATAAGCCGCCCGTCTGCCATGAGCCTTCAGAGCCGTCCGCCAGACCGGAGCCGCTAAAGCCTTCCGCCAGACAGGATCAGCCAGAGCCTTCCGCCAGACAGGATCAGCCAGAGCCTTCCGCCAGACAGGATCAGCCAGAGCCTTCCGCCAGACAGGATCGGCCAGAGCCTTCCGCCAGACAGGATCAGCCAGAGCCTTCCGCCAGACAGGATCAGCCAGAGCCTTCCGCCAGACAGGATCAGCCAGAGCCTTCCGCCAGACAGGATCAGCCAGAGCCTTCAGCCAGCCATGAGCAGCCAGATCCGTCGGCCAGCCATGAGCAGCCAGATCCGTCGGCCAGCCATGAGCAGCCAGATCCGTCGGCCAGCCATGAGCAGCCAGATCCGTCGGCCAGCCATGAGCAGCCAGATCCGTCAGCCAGCCATGAGCAGCCAGATCCGTCGGCCAGCCATGAGCAGCCAGATCCGTCGGCCAGCCATGAGCAGCCAGATCCGTCGGCCAGCCATGAGCAGCCAGATCCGTCGGCCAGCCATGAGCAGCCAGATCCGTCAGCCAGCCATGAGCAGCCAGATCCTTCAGCCAGCCATGAGCCGTCCAGCCAGGATCCGCCAGAGCCGTCCAGCCAGGATCCGCCAGAGCCAGCCAGCCAGGATCCGCCATTGAGTCCGGTGCTGTCCCTTAGCCCGGTGCTGCCCCTTATCCTGGTGCTGCCCCTTAGTCCGGTACTGCCCCTTAGTCCGGTGCTGCCCCTTAGTCCGGTGCTGCCCGTTAGTCCGGTGCCGCCCCTTAATCCAGTGGGGTTTAGTTGGGGGGTGGTCATATGGAGGAGGCTACGGAAGCGGATAGTGACTAAGGTGGGGTGGGGACCACGACCAGGGCCAGAGCCGCCACCGTGGACAGACGCCCACCCAGACCCTCCCATAGACGGTATGCTGGTGCGCCCGGAGTTCGCACCTTTAGGGGGGGGGTACTGTGACACTCTGGCTCCGGGACTTTTATATTTGAGCCAGGGTGTATTTGTTTTGTTGGGTTTTGGTTTGGTTATGTTGGGTTTTGGGTGTATTTCTATGTTTGCAGTTCTGTGGGGTTTATGTCTAGGTTTGGTCAATGACTCCCAATCGGAGGTAACGAGTGTCAGCTGTCGGCTCGTTATCTCTGATTGGGAGCCATATTTAGTCTGATTGTTTTCCTGTGGGATTTGTGGGTTTTTGTTCCAAGTTTAGTCTTTGTTACTGTTGGACTTCACTTTCGTCTTTTGTTTTGTATTGACGTGCTTTTCTAATTAAAAGTCATCATGTTCACTCGCAACGCTGCGCCTTGGTCTCCTGTTATAGACGATCGTGACAGCAATGGTCATACACAGGTAGGCAAACAGGCAGGAGAATCAAAACTAGGACTGAAGGCTAAAACTGGTTCTCACAAACGAGCTATAAAAAGGCTTTGTCGAGTCAAAACAAACAATACCTCACAAGGCACAAACCGAATGAACTGAACTAAATAAGGAGCTGATGAGACCAGGTGAGTAACTAACGCAAGTGAAATCAATGAACAAAAATGAAAGACAGGGCTACGTTCAAGAACACAAAGAAACAGGGAACACAAGGTTGACTAAGAAAATAACTACAGAACCTTACAACCTATTATCGGTTTTCACACCTTTCATTATGTGACAATGGATAGGCTAAAGGGTAGCCTATGGAATGTATTGGAATATAATAAAATAACAAGGGGCCTATTGCAACCATCGATGGCAGTAGATTATTGCAATACACGCTAAATTTACCCGCACAGCTGATCTTAATAACAACCATTATTGGTCACCTTTACTCTGAACAACTTAGTCCTTTTTGAACAGACTAATGACATTGATCTATTTGACAAGCATTCCGTAGCCTACAATAGAAATAAAGTATTTAATCGTTTACCACGGCAAATTCACCGTGGCAATTTACCCAACAATTTGTAGCTGATGTTGGTGTAGCCTATTTGTATTATTTTATGTCATCCTAAAGTGTCTGTTATGGTAATATCCTATCAAAATATCCCTGGACTGTCCATCTTTGAAATGTGTAAATAAATCTCGTCAATCGGGGGGATTTAGTTATTTGTGCCAGAAGGGCGTGGGACGGAATCAAACTTATGACGCTTGTGTGCTGAAGGCACAAGCAGCAACACTAACTGCTAAACCACCGTAGGCCACGATTGAACTCAATTTTGACCTCAGCGTACACTTGACACTTGTATGTTGTAGCCTAGTGGAGACCAATATATATATTGTGTTATTAAGCGATATAAAACAACGGTTGTTGATGTGAATGGCTGCATTTCATGTAAAAAAAAAATACATTTGAATGTTGCGGTAATAGCACCTAGGCCTAGCATTTGAGCGAGCGAGAGAGACAATTATTTTGATAGTAAGCCCTGATCCCAATGACTCGACTGCCCCCGAATGGAGAGAAAGAGAACTGCTCTTTTTCAGGGACTCACAAGGCTCATTTGAATATCCTGATGCAGCAGGACAATTCTCTGCGACAAAAGAGTGATCAGGTTAAGATCCGACATCTGTAGGGTTGTAAAGTGTAGCAATGAGTAATTACAATAGTTGTTACACTGTACTTACAGGAATAACCACACAGTATTGTAAAGTAGAGTTGTGTCTGGGCCGCATTTAACTTCAACCCCAACTGACCTATATTGCTAGTGTCACCATGGTAACTACAAAGATAAGACCATTCAACGAGCTAAAATAAGGCTCTGTGCTGTTGTTGCTGTTATAACTGTTAGTGTTGCTATATTGTTGATATGATGATGTCTTTCTCTTAGTCTTGGCACATGGCTTCCTGGTTGTGTAGAGTGAGAGCAATTGTACATGTTGATAGTATTAGCTTCCTTATAGAAAGGGGAAGTTTGGTGAGAGAGAGAAGGACAGACGGGCAGAAGTGGTTTGGGGTTGTAGTTACTTTGTTCAAGATTAAAACGTGTGTGTCAGAAAGCTACAACCGACTGACAGCGGAGGGGACTGACTCTCATATGGATTAACAAGGGAACACTTCATATCGAGGTCTATAGGCTGATGAACAGTGTGCTGTAAGTTCAGAGTCCCCCCCCATATAGGCTCATGTTAGTGCTGTCATCTTCACAGTTGGTAGATAACTGTTTATTATGACTGTACCTGTATGTGTGTGTATGTCCCAGCTTTATGACCGCATACACGTCAGCAGAACGTTAGATTTAAACGGGCATAATGCTATCTGTGCTTTCACTATTACTGAACTGTGGTGAGGTGAGGAGAGCACTCAGTCATGCCATTCATTGGAATAGGTTGAGCTGTCAGTCGTTGAAGTGAGTGGTGTGTGTGTGTGTATGCTTGCAAGCTCTGCTTACTGTTCAATCTGCATCCTGTTTTTCATAATTAGCATGAGGGGTGAAATATGATATGCTGGCAAGTCAACTGACATGTTTGGAAAGAAAAGTGTGTATTCATGCATTTAAGTGTTGCTTAATGTGTTGGTCATTCTAGGCCAGTGTTGGTTGTAATTTGCCTCTGTAGGGAAAGCAAAAGACAAATTGATTGTGGACTGTAAGGAAATAGATCAATAAAGTATTCTTCTTCTTCTTCTTCTTCTTCTTCTTCTTCTTCTTCTTCTTCTTCTTCTTCTTCTTCTTCTTCTTCTTCTTCTTCTTCTTCTTCTTCTTCTTCTTCTTCTTCTTCTTCTTCTTCTTCTTCTTCTTCTTCTTCTTCTTCTTCTTCTTCTTCTTCTTCTTCTTCTTCTTCTTCTTCTTCTTCTTCTTCTTCTCATCCAGCTATCTCCAGACGTCCTCTTCACTGGCCATAAGCCTGACAGTGGCTGGGAGCTGGGACAGGTGAGATTTGAATTAAATTGAATTTACAGATGATTACAGGGGAAACAACTTCCTGGCATCAAACAAGGAACTCAAAGTACAGTTGATGTGTAAAACAACAATACCTACAGTATACAAACTAATTTCCCCATTGGGGCTATCAGAAGAAAGCAGTCTTACTTAGTTATCCTCTTCGTACCTACTGGCACATAAAGGCAGTGACAAGACCTCTCCAATTCTGATGATCAGATGTTCAGGAATTGAAGCTAAGCTGGGGCCAGGCTGCCAAACAGGCTTTAGAATGTCTGAGGCATTCTCATATGTTCAGATACTCTTTATAACACCAATCACGTATCCAGTTACACAATGTCAACTTGTGATGTCAGATGGTATGATGCACTCCAGTGTTACAGCAACATGTTGCCTCACAGTGGGGCAAGAATAGAGGCGGGTGCCTTGTTTCCCTGAACGCTTATCTAGCAGATTTGGCTCCAAAACGAATCCTCACCCACTCATCATGGGAAGATGGCACCCATCAAGATGGGTATTTATTTTGCATCTCTATGGCACAATCCCAGTGTTCTGGTCAAACGTTTTGCACTACATAGGAAATAGGGGGCCATTTGGGACAGACACTGCTTATGTCGTGAGTTGTGTGTTGGGTCGTGAGTTGTGTGTCATAGCCAGTGGCAGCAGCCTCCTGTCTCTCAGCCCATGTGAAGTGGAGTGAAACAAAGCTGATGGAAACAGAACTGGGCCAATGAAAACCTCTTAACCACTCCACAGTTAGTTTACCATCTGGCTCAGTGTCAACAGAGAATAACATTAAGGGAGTTCACTGTTCTGGACCAGTGACCTTGGGGTGTGTGTCGAGGAATGGCACAGTGTGTCTGTGTGAGCGACCCTGCCAAACATTTTACATTTTAGTCGTTTAGCAGACACTTTTCTCCAGAGCGACTTACAGGAGCAATTAGGGTTAAGTGCCTTGCTCAAGGGCACACCGGCAGATGTTTCCCCTAGTCGGTTCGGGGATTCGAACCAGCGACCTTTCAGTTACTGGTCCAACGCTCTTAACCGCTAAACTACCTGCTTCCAAACTCACTATGAGAAGGGATAGATCCATATCCAAAGGCTTTGATCAGGTTCTGGATAGCAAAAGATAGTCTGTAGAAAAAACACACAGCACACTTGGGAGTGTATCACAGTTTTGGGAGTCTTCTTTTCTTGCTGATGCCGTGCCTAATCCAGTAGTTCTCCATTTGGCAGAGGTATCTTGGTGGCGTGCATGTGAGGACCCCTCATCCATCTGCTCTCTAGTGACATAAGTCTGTAGCTCTGTTTATAATATATCCATTTGTCTCTTGTGACAGACTTTTAACATAGCTAGCCAGCGCACGCAATAATTTATTCTGGGGTCGAAAGTGATGTATCCATCAAACACAGTAGTCCGAGAGCAACCTGGCCTCCGAGAGCAGCCTGGCCTCCTCTATGCATACACAAAGTGAATAACTTGTCTTCCCCTCTGTGTTGGTGTCCTGTAGAGTATGCAGCGATCAGTATCCTCAGACACCATCAGCACAACAGCCTTCAGTACAGGAGACAAGGAGGTCCAGGGATGTCACTCCGCCCTACTGCGTCATGAGACAGAGGAGCTCAGCCACTTACGATCCATGATTCTGCCTGAAAACGGCAAGGTACTGTACACGTACGCACAGAGGCAGACAGGCACGTGCACACACACACACACACACACACACACACAAACACAGGTGGAGTACACACACGTACACATGCCCACATGAATAAGCATACAAACAGAAAAACACAGGCGCACACAGGGGCGTCATGCACCTCCAAAATCTGAGGGAACACTAAGTATGTGAGGATGGCTTTGGGGTGGTCCGGAGGAGGGATATGCCCCCGGTCCGTAAGTAGGAGAATTTTGCACTTTTCAAACACCTGAAACAGCCTTTTCCTGCAATCTAGAGCCATAATCATTATGATTAATTCTATGTCAAAAATTAGTATTTTTTCTGCATATCTAAGCATACCTCTTGAGCTGTCTGTATCCTCCTGACTGGTGGTTATTTTTTTAAAGAAACTATATATGCTTCTCTGCTCTGCAAAAATGTGGGTACAATATTGAAAGTAATGTGAGTCTTATTCAGTACATTTAAGTTATTGCTTGGTTTTCTAAAGTCTACCAACCTTACCAGCAGACATGCAAGTTAAGATAGTTAGACAAGCTAGCTACTCTAACTTGATTGATAGCCTGAAATTGTTTCTTAGTAATTAGTTATAAGGTTGGGAGATAGGGAACCTATCTGGGCTAGATAAAGCCAACTTCATAAAAGTTGCTAGGTGGCTAGTAATATAACAGAGAAACAACAACAACAATAAAACATGTTAAATTACAGGACAAATCTGAGGGGACATGACACCTCTGGGTGCACAACAGTGGATGCTGCTGAGGGGAGGAGGCCTCATAATAATAACGTCTGGAACGGAGTAAATGGAATGGCATCCATGTGTTTGATGTATTTGATATCATTCCACTCATTCCACTCCATTACCACGAGCCCGTCCTCCCCAATTAAGGTGCCACCAACCGCCTGTGGTGCACACATACTCAAACGAATGCACGCAAGCATGCAGAAACACACATACAGACACAGACACTATATCTGTCCAGATCTAACTGTCTGTGTTGTTCCTAGCTGGGCCAGCAGTGCAGAGACTGCTCCTATCCTGTGACCAGTGTGGTGGTGGAGCCTCCCTCTCCAGACAGCAACGACAGCTCCACGCCGGTGAGACTCACACCTTCTACCTTCCTTCTCCATGTCCCCGTCTCCACTGTCCCAGTTTTCCCCTGTCTCCAAAGGCCACCTGCCTCACCCACTGCTACTGCCGCCACTATCTCATACCCCACTCTACCCTCCTGCCCCACCCACTGTCCCCATGTCTCCACTGACCCTAATGTTCTCACTGCTAGTTAGCTAGCACTCTAATGTCTCTATAACACCATAAACTCTCCCCGTCTCGCCCATCCCCAGGAGCTGGAAAAGGCAGGTCTGCTGAATAAGACCAAGATAGCAGAGGGAGGCAGGAAGCTGAGGTAAGACAGGCTCATCTTGGAGGGATTGATGTTAATAATACATATAAGATGGAGTTTTTCCTCAGTCCCAGAAGTTTTTCCTGACCATTTGACTTGGTGTATGTTTTAGGAAAAACTGGAATCCATCCTGGGTGGTTCTGGTTGGGAATAGTCTGGTTTTCTTCAAGGATCCCAAATCTCAGACCCCCTCCAGCTGGGTAAAACAGTGTTATTCACCTTGAAACACATAAACCCACAAATGTTTTATAACATGATAACTACAGTTAACAATATATTAGTCTCTCGTGACAGACTGTTAATATACCGTTGCTGTCTTATGAAAACCTCGTAACTCAATTTTTGCCCAATAATTTGTGCGGGGTGTATTGAAAGCAGTAACTCCCCTCAATGTGTATTTCATGACTCTAGTACCAAAAACATGTATTCAAAATAGCTTCTGAAGTTTCATAATTGTTTGTTCGTAAAAGGGAGTATATGGCCATTTTTCAATTTCCTGAAAAGTTTGTGTTTTGGAGATGAGGTTTTCATCCGACAGCGACGATAAATGATTCGCTGGCCAGCTGTGGTTCTGGGTTCCGAGAGTAAAAAGTGATCACTCATAATAATGATTGTGTGCGTGTGTTTCTCTCCAGAAACCAGGGAACAGTTGTCCAGAGAGCAGTGTAGACCTGAGAGGAGCTCAGCTACAGTGGGCCAACGACCTGTCCAGCAAGAAGAACGTCTTCAAGGTCAGATACACACCAGGAAGTAGGAATGGAATGAGTCACTTTCTTAGCATATCCCCATTCCTCTACCTTTCACAATGTCCCTCAAACCACCATTTTCTTGTTTGGATATAATTTCAATGACATTTTTAAGACACATTTTTATTTCACCCTGTATTTTAGGGAAGTCAAATGTGGCTATTTTAGTCCCACTGAGAGAGAACTTCTCAAGTTGTTTTCTGTGAAAAAGCATTCTCACCTCCTCTTGAGAGGAAGCTCAGTCGGTGACTGTGTTTTGTAGCTGTGTGCACCAGGGTTCGAGCCAATTCAATTTCAACTCAGTCAATTCAATATGCCTTAAAAATTCCAGTTCAAGAATTTAAAATTACCATTCATTCTCAATGCAATTTTTTCAATTCCTGAATTTTCATTTAAATTAATTTCCCAAATTGACTGAATGGAAATTTAATTTTGGGAAGTAGTAGCATACACTACAAGAGGTACTACAGTACTAGGAGTAGTGTTTGATTTGGGACTAACTCATGGTATTTTGTCTGTCTGTGTGGTAGCTGAGGACGGTGACAGGGAATGAGTTCCTACTGCAGTCAGAGACAGATTCACTGATTAGAGAGTGGTTCAGCACCATCCAGAGTGTAATCGACAGGCTGGTGAGTCTCACTTTGTGTGTGTGTGTGTGTGTAGGGGTGGGGGTCCTTTTTTATTATCAGAAACCAACTCATGGTACATAATAAAGACATCTGGCACCAGTTGAAATTCTCTTCTCTGCTGTGTAGAACCGTGAGAATCCTCTGGACAATGTCCTAATGTACTCTCTGAGGAAGGCGGGCAGTGTGGAGATGTTGGACCAGAGTGGAGACGAGGAAGATAGTCGAGGGGGATCTAAAGCATCACGTGAGTCTCTCCTCCATCCACTGCTCCAAGGGTGCTGTTCTTGTGCTGTGGCTGACCATGTGCTTCCTCTGGTGGTGTGTGTGAGTGTCTCAGGGGGTTGGGTAGAAAGCAAACCCTCCATCTCTTTCTCTCATTCTCCCTCTCTCCCCTCTCTCTCATTCTTTCCCGCCCGCTGCAGTCCCTTGTTCTTCTTCCAACCGGGAGAGCACAGAGAGGAAGCGTGTTCGGAGCAGACTGAAGAAGCTCATCCTGAAGAGACCTCCACTACAGATCCTACAGGAGAAAGGACTCATCAAGGGTAAGATCACCTACTGTCTCTGTCTATGTCTCTATTTATCTTCCTTTGTCTCTCTCTCTCTCTCTCTCTCTCTGTCTGTCTGTCTGTCTGTCTGTCTGTCTGTCTGTCTGTCTGTCTGTCTGTCTGTCTGTCTGTCTGTCTGTCTGTCTGTCTGTCTGTCTGTCTCACTCTCACTCTCACTCTCACTCTCTCACTCCCTCTGCCTGTCTGTCTGTCTGTCTGTCTGTCTGTCTGTCTGTCTGTCTGTCTGTCTGTCTGTCTGTCTGTCTGTCTGTCTGTCTGTCTGTCTGTCTGTCTGTCTGTCTGTCTGTCTGTCTGTCTGTCTGTCTGTCTGTCTGTCTGTCTGTCTGTCTGTCTGTCTGTCTCTCTCTCTCTCTGTCTCTCTGTCTCTCTGTCTCTCTGTCTCTGTCTCTGTCTCTGTCTTGCTCTCTCGCTGACTGAGATCACTTAGAGAATGAGATCACTTATGGGTAAATCCTAAAGGATCACACGCATCGCACCGAATGTTGATCTGCTGTTCTTTCATGGTGCTAGGTTTGCAAATTACAGCCGGTTCAGAGGTGCTAAGGACTCTTGGCTGGCAAACAGTATTGCAGTGTCTGAACCTTAAAGTCCCAGTGCAGACAAAAACGTGATTTTCCTGTGTTTATATATACAGTACCAGTCAAAGGGTTTGGACACACCTAATCATTCCAGGTATTTTTTTTATTTGTTTTTATTTATTTTTTACTATTTTCTACATTGTAGAGTAATAGTGAAGACATCAAAACTATGGAATCATGTAGTAACCAAAAAATTGTTAAATAATTCCAAATATATTTTATATTTGAGATTCTTCAAAATAGCCTCCCTTTGCCTTGATGACAGCTTTGCACACTCTTGACATTCTCTCAACCAGCTTCACCTGGAATGCTTTTCCAACAGTCTTGAAGGAGTTCCCACATATGCTGAGCACTTGTTGGCTGCTTTTCCTTCATCCGTGGTCCAACTCATCCCAAACCATCTCAATTTGGTTGAGGTCGGGTGATTGTGGAGGCCAAGTCATCTAATGCAGCACTCCATCACTCTCCTTCTTGGTCAAGCCTGGAGGTGTGTTGGGTCAAATGATAGTCCCACTAAGCGCAAACCAGAAAGGATGGCATACCGCTGCAGAATGCTGTGGTAGCCATGCTGGTTAAGTCTGCCTTGAATTCTAAATAAATCACTGACAGTGTTACCAGCATAGCACCTCCACACCATTACACCTCCTCCTCCATGCTTCACGGTGGGAACCACACATGCGGAGATCATCTGTTCACCTACTCTGCGTCTCACAAAGACACGGCGGTTAGAACCAAACATCTCAAATTTGGACTCATCAGACCAAAGGACAGATTTCCACCGGTCTAATGTCCATTGCTCGTGTTTCTTGGCTCAAGGAAGTCTCTTCTTATTGGTGTCCTTTAGTAGTGGTTTCTTTGCAGCAATTCAACCATGAAGGCCTGATTCACGCAGTCTCCTCTGAACAGTTGATGTTGAGATGTCTACTTGAACTCTGTGAAGCATTTATTTGGGCTGCAATTTCTGAGGCTGGTAACTCTAATGAACTTATCCTCTGCAGCAGAGGTAACTCTGGGTCTTCCTTTCCTGTGGTTGTCCTCATGAGAGCCAGTTTCATCATAGCGCTTGATGGTTTTTGCGACTGCACTTGAAGAAACGTTCAAAGTTCTTGACATTTTCCGGATTGACTGACCTTTATGTCTTAACGTAATGATGGACTGTCGTTTCTCTTTGCTTATTTGAGTTGTTCTTGCCATAATATGGACTTGGTCTTTTACCAAATAGGGCTATCTTCTGTATAGCACCCCTACCTTGTCACAACACAACTGATTGGCTCAAACGCATTAAGAAGGAAAGAAATTCCACAAATTAACTTTTAACAAGGCAAACCTGTTAATTGAAATGCATTCCAGGTGACTACCTCATGAAGCTGGTTGAGAGAATGCCAAGAGTGTGCAAAGCCGTCATCAAGGCAAAGGCTGGCTACTTTGAAGAATTTGTTTAACACTTTTTTGGTTACTACATGATTCCATATATGTTATTTCATAGTTTTGATGTCTTCATTATTATTATAAAAAGTAGAAAATAGTAAAAATAAAGAAAAACCCTTGAATGAGTAGGTGTGTCCAAAACAAATTCTGGTACTGTGTATATATATATATATATATATATATATATATATATATATATATATATGGAATTTTGGCGTGCCTGGTGAGATCACCAGGTGGTAAATTAGCTAATAGACCAATAAGAAATTGCGTTCCAAACCTCTCTGCTAATAACAGCTGTTTTCAGTTTTTCAGTCCCCACTCAGACCGCTCTCAGACAGTCCTAGCAAAATTGTTGTTTGAGAAATTGCTCTTTGCTAAGAATCTATTTTTGTTTCTTTTTGACCATTTTAATATAACAAGGTACTTAATTGTTACCCAGAAAGTATTTGATATTGAGATTAAAACGCCTGCATTGGTACTTTAAGATCCGCTTAAGTTGAATTTCAACTTAGTCTCCCATTGACATTCACATATTACGAAGTGAAAATTCGACTTAAGTGGAAGTAAGGATTTATACCTCAGTGATCTCACTCTAAATGCTAAATCCCCTTGAGAGTAGTGGCCTTTCAATTCCATGGAACTGGAGATCAATCTAATTATATAAAAAGGGGTTTCTTTTCAGTGTGGATTGAGGAAGTAATATGATGTGAGTTCCTCTGTGTATCTCATGACCTCTGATTTCTATATTGACTATAAGTCACTTTAGAGAAGATAATCTTTAGTGTTCTAAATGCCAGTGTTTTTGTTATTTACAGACCAGGTGTTTGGCTGTTGTCTAGAGATGCTGTGTGAGAGAGAGAAGAACACGGTGCCTCGCTTCGTCAGGCTCTGCACTGAGGAAGTGGAGAGGAGAGGTACAGCACAGATGAGGGAGGGATGGAGGGGAAAGGGAAAGAGGTAGAGGGAGGGAGGAGAGAGGGAAATGCTGTGTGAGAGAGAGAAGAACACAGTGCCTCGCTTCGTCAGGCTCTGCACTGAGGCCGTAGAGGAGAGGAGAGGTACAGCACAGCCCTATAGCACTCCCCTCAGGGTACATGTTGGCTTTAAGCAAACCATCTTTTGGGGATGTATAGTTGATAAGGATTTTATAGGTTTGTGGTACAGTAAATGGTTGATGCCAGGGTAACCTAGCGGTTAGAACGTTGGGCCAGTAACTGAACGGTTGCTAGTTCGAATCCCCAAGCCGACAAGGGGGAAAATCTGTTGATGTGCCCTTGAGCAAGGCACTTAACCCTAATTGCTCAAGGGTCGCCATTGATAATGTCAGATCCTGGCCGTGACCCCACTCTCTGAGGGGAGTTGGGATATGCAAAAAATAAACATTTACAATTCACACATGCTTATAATACACGCTTGTACATGTGTGAAATAGGAACCACCTAATTATTATTATTATTATTATTATTATTATTATTATTATTTGTTGCCAATGTAACATGAGGTACCTGGGTGTTGTTGCCAGGGTTACATATAGTATGGGTGTTGTTGCCAGTGCTACATGTCCTGTTGTGTGTTTCAGGTCTGGAGACGGACGGTATCTACAGAGTGAGTGGTAACCTGGCTGTCATACAGAAACTACGCTTTCTAGTCAACCATGGTGAGAGGGAGGGGAGGGAGGGGAGGGGAGGGAGGGAGGGTGGAGGGAGTGGGGATTAGGGGGAAGGGAGGGGAGGGAGGGGAGAGGGAGGGAGTTTAGGGAGGGAGGGAGGAGGGGAGGGAGGGAGGGAGGGAGGGAGAGGGGGAGTGAGGGAGGGGGGGGGAGGGGGGAGGGGGGGAAGGAAAGGATGAAAGAAAAAGGAAGAAGGAAGGAAAAGGAAGGAAGGAAGGAAGGAAGGAAGGAAGGAAGGACAGGAGAAGGAAGAAGGAAGAAGGAAGAAGGATCTTCAGGAAGGGAGGGGGAGGCAGTAGGGAGTGAAGGAGGGAAAGGGGCTGGGATCATAGCAACTTACTCTAGATTCCATAAATAACTGTTGGTTAATTCCAGAGCGAGCGGTGACCACTGATGGACGTTATATGTTCCCTGCGGAGTTGGTACAAGGTAGAACTCAGACGAACTGGCAGCTCATAGCTTTGAGCCAAATCTATGCATATGTGTGCAATGTCTGCATTTATGCAAAAACACGTTTGTCTGCCTCTAAGCTTTCCAGCTGCTGGAAGTTTGTATATTGTGTTGTCTTTGCACAGACATGCTGAGTAAAATATCAGTTAAAGGTGCATCAGGGACTGTGTTCTTTACGCACTCTATTGGTGCCGTCAAGTGGCTAAAATAGACTACTGCAGCTTGCGTTTTGCTCTAGCCTGCCATTGTTGCATTGCCTTGAATCCTGACCAATGTTTCTCAACACTCCTCTGGACATTAGTTTACAGTATTAGGTTCTAAACATTAATTTCACACTGGAAACTCTTGTAGTTACACAAGCAATTAGGTTTACAAATGTAACTGAGGATGGCTTGAGAAATATTGTTCAGGATTGAATGGATGGTTGTATTGTGGGAGCATTCCCACAAGCTCTGTCTCTCTGCATTCTAACGATTGCCTTGTTTCACAGACAATGTATCTCTGCTACAGCTACAAGCCTGCCAGCCTCCCTGTCTACCAAAAGCACCGTTTTACCAGTGAAACTCATGCATATCTCTCTTTCCCTCCCATCCCTCTCTACACTCCCTCCCTCCTCCCTCCTCCCTCCCTCCCTCCTCCCTCCTCCCTCCTCCCTCCTCCCTCTATTATTCTCCCCTTCCACTAATAGAGAAGCTGAACCTGGACCAGAGTGAATGGGAGGATATCCATGTCATAACAGGAGCCCTAAAGCTCTTCTTCAGGGAGCTTCCTGAACCCCTGGTCCCGTATGGCTTCTTCACAGACATCGTAGAGACCATCAGTGAGTAGCTCCTGAATGAGGGAATAAATCCTTCTTCACAGACACAGTTGACCGTCAGTGAGTGGCTCCTACTGTTATCTGCTGGATGAATGAGTGGATGGATGGATGGATGGATCGTTGAACAAAGGAAAGAATGGATTGATGGATTGTTTGATGGATGGACTAAAGAATGAATGAACAAACCAACAAATGAATATGTCATATAAGACAGTCTGCCATCTGGAGTCTATTATATTTGTCTGGATGTCTGTGTGTCCAGAGATGTCAGACTACTTGGACAAAGTGGACCGTCTGAAGTGGCTGGTTCTGAGCATGCCTCCTCCCAACCACGACACCATGAGGTTCATGTTCAGCCATCTCAAACGGTATGAGACCTCTCCTCAATCTAGCCTAGTCCCTAATCTGTTTAACTGCAGTATAGAAGACTGACAACTAGAGGGCGTAGTGTCCTCAGCCTTGTTCTCAGCAGTTGCCTTTCGGTATTTGTTCTGTGAATGAACAGTGTGGACTCAAGAGTGCTGTGGGTCACATACTGTGGGTAATGGAGTGAGAGGTTGAAACACTGACGGATTTAGTCACACAAGTAAAATAGTTACTCTTCTGTTACTTTATGGTACTTCCATAGGACTTAAGAGTGGCTGTTTGTTGTGTTAATGAATCTGATGTTTGTGCCAACATGTAGCTCCCATGAATATGTATGAGTCACTGTGTCTCTGTCTCACTGTCATTCCTCTCTCTCTCGTTCGCTCTCCCTCTCTCTCTCTCTCTCTCTCTCTCTCTCTCTCTGGATCTTATTTTCTCATCTCCTCCTACCCCATCATCTCATCTCCTATCCTCCTCCCCCCCCTCTTCTCACCTCTCCTCCCCCTCTCATCCCTTCCCTCCTCCTCTGGGATCACTGTGGCTCGTCTGCTGGAAGGAACAGCAACACCACTGCCGCCACCACTGGAACCTCTCTCCTCCACTCTCCCTTTCTTTTTTCTTCCCTCGTTCTGTCTCTTTTTTCCTCTCATTTTTTAATGTGGAAGTTTTGAGCAATTGCTGGCTGCCTCTGTGGCTTGGTGGGAATGGCATTTTTAGAAGAATGCCTCATGCTGTGGCTTTAACCCATTCCTGTGTCGGTGTCCCCTCCACCCACCCACACACCCACACACACACACACACACACACACACACACAGAGAGACCCCAAAACCAACCCTAAACCTAACCTTTCACACCTTACCCTAATTCCAACCCAAACACAAATTCTAACCCTAAACCCCCTAGAAATAGTCTTTATACTTGTTGGGACTGGCAAAATGTCCCTAGTTGGTCGAATATTTGTTTGTTTACTATTCTTATGGGGACTTCTGGTATAGTTAAACATGTCCACACACACACACATACACACACACACATACACGTTTGTTTTAGATTCCCTTTCAAAATCCAATTTTCCCTAACCCATATACCTAACCCATAACCTAACCCTAATCCTAACCTTAACCTTAACCCTGACCTTAACCCCTAACTCTAAACCTCATTCCTAACCCTAAGCCTAACCCCTAACCTCTAAGTCTAACCATAACCCTAATTGTAACACTAACCCTAAACCCAACCTCTAATCCTAAAATACAGTGAGCTCCAAAAGTATTGGGACAGTGACACATTTTGGTTGTTTTGGCTCTGTACTCCAGCACTTAGGATTTGAAATGATACAATGACTATGAGGTTAAAGTGCAGACTGTCAACTTTAATTTGAAGGTATTTTCATCCATATCAGGTGAACCGTTTGTGCACTTTTTGTACAAATTCAATGATGTGTATTAAAGTAGTCAAAAGTTAAGTATTTGGTCCCATATTCATAGCACACAATGACTACATCAAGCTTGTGACTCAAAATATTTGTTGGATGCATTTGCTCTTTGTTTTGGATGTGTTTCAGATTATTTTGTGCCCATTAGAAATGAATGGTAAATCATGTATTGTGACATTTTGGAGTCACTTTTATTGTAAATAAGAATAGAAAATGTTTCTTAACACTTCTACATTAATGCGGATACTACCATGATTATGGATAATCCTGAATGAATTGTGAATAATGATAAGTGAGAAAGTAAGACGCACAAATATCTTACCCCCAAAATATGCTAACCTCTCACCATTCCAATAACAGGGATGTTTGCATTTTTTTTTGGGGGGGGGGGGGGGGTGTATGGTTTTAGTGTGTCTATCCCCACCGTTCCATCAGTTGTTTTTTATCTTTTTTTTAAAGCTAATTTTGGTGTTTGCTTGGGTAATTAGAGATGGAAGGGAGTTCCATGCGATCATGGCTCTGTATAAAATGGTGTGTTGCCGTGAAGTCGTTTTGGACTTGGGGACTGTGAAGAGACCCCTGGTGGCATGTCTTGTGGGGTATGGGTGTCTGAGCTGAATGTTATTTAATTATGCAGACAATCTGGAATTTTTGGCATAGTAATATTTCTCATTAAAACTAGAAGAGAAGCAGTTAATCTGTCATCAACCCTCAACCAGGAAAGACTTGCATGCATGTTGTTGATGTTAGTTCTGCATGTGCAGTTAAGGGCAAGGCGTGCTGCTCTGTTTTGAGCCAGCTGCAACTTTACTAGGTCTTTCTTTGCTGCATATTACTGGACAGCAATCAAGATGGGACAAGACCACAGCATGAACAACTAGTACAGTTGATTTTTGTGTAAAAAACACATAACTATATAAATATATATATATATATATATATATATATATATATATATATATATATAGTACCAGTCAAAAGTTTGGACACGCCTACTCATTGAATATATATATATATATATATATTTTAAACTATTTTCTACATTGTAGAATAATAGTGAAGACATCAAAACTATGAAATAACACATATGGAATCATGCAGTAACCAAAAAAGTGTTAAACAAATCTAAATCTGTTTTATATTTGAGATTCTTCAAATAGCCACTCTTTGCCTTGATGACAGCTTTGCACACTCTTGGCATTCTCTCAACCAGCTTCATGGGGTAGTCACCTGGAATGCATTTTAACTAACAGGTGTGCCAATCAGTTGTGTTTTGACAAGGTGGGGGGGGGGGGGGGGGTACACAGAAGATAGCCCTATTTGGTAAAATAGCAAGTCCATATTATGGCAAGAACAGCTCAAATAAGCAAATAGAAACGACAGTCCATCATTACTTTAAGACATGAAGGTCAGTCAATCCGGAAAATGTCAAGAACTGAAAGTTTCTTCAAGTGCAGTCGCAAAAACCATCAAGGGCTATGATGAAACTGGCTCTCATGAGGACCTCCACAGGAATGGAAGACCCCGAGTTACCTCTGCTGCAGAGGATAAGTTCATTAGAGTTACCAGCCTCAGAAATTGCAGCCCAAATAAATGCTTCACAGAGTTCAAGTCACAGACACATCTCAACATCAACTGTTCAGAGGGGACCTTTTATTTAAGGTATCTGTGACCAACATATGCATATCTGTATTCCCAATCATGTGAAATCCATCGCTTAGGGCCTAATTACTTAATTTCTATGTTTGTTCAGTATATAAACTCAGCAGAAAAAGAAACGTCCTCTCACTGTCAACTGCGTTTATTTTCAGCAAACTTAACGTGTGTAAATATTGAAGATTCAACAACTGAGACATAAACTTAGCAAGTTCCACAGACGTGTGACTAAATGAAATTGAATAATGTGTCCCTGAACAAAGGGGGGGTCAAAATCAAAAGTAACAGTCAGTATCTGGTGTGGCCACCAGCTGCATTAAGTACTGCAGTGCATCTCCTCCTCATGGACTGCATCAGATTTGCCAGTTCTTGCTGTGAAATGTTACCCCACTCTTCCACCAAAGCACATGCAAGTTCCCGGAAATTTCTGGGGGGAATGGCCCTAGCCCTCACCCTCCGATCCAACACATCCCAGATGTGCTCAATGGGATAGAGATCCGGGCTCTTCGCTGGCCATGGCAGAACACTGACATTCCTGTCTTGCAGGAAATCACGCACAGAACGAGCAGTATGGCTGGTGGCATTGTCATGCTGGAGGGTCATGTCAGGATGAGCCTGCAGGAAGGGTACCACATGAGGGAGGAGGATGTCTTCCCTGTAACGCACAGCGTTGAGATTGCCTGCAATGACAACAAGCTCAGTCCGATGATGCTGTGACACACCGCCCCAGACCGTGACGGACCCTCCACCTCCAAATCGATCCCGCTACAGAGTACAGGCCTCGATGTAACGCTCATTCCTTCGACGATAAACACGAATCTGACCATCACCTCTGGTGAGACAAAACCACGACTCGTCAGTGAAGACCACTTTTTGCCAGTCCTGTCTGGTCCAGTGACGGTGGGTTTGTGTCCATAGGCGACGTTGTTGCCGGTGATGTCTGGTGAGGACCTGCCTTACAACAGGCCTACAAGCCCTCAGTCCAGCATCTCTGGAGGGATTGTGCGTTCCTGGTGTAACTCGGGTAGTTGTTGTTGCCATCTTGTACCTGTCCCGCAGGTGGGATGTTCGGATGTACCGATCCTGTGCAGGTGTTGTTACACGGGGTCTACCACTGCGAGGAGGATCAGCTGTCTGTCCTGTCTCCCTGTAGCAATGTCTTAGATGTCGTACAGTACGGACTTTGCAATTTATTGCTCTGGCCACATCTGCAGTCCGCATGCCTTCTTGCAGCATGCCTAAGGCATGTTCACTCAGATGAGCAGGGACCCTGGGCATCTTTCTGTTGGTGTTTTTCAGAGTCAGTAGAAAGGCCTCTTTAGTGTACTAAGTTTTCATAACTGTGACCTTAATTGCCAACCGTCTGTAAGCTGTTAGTGTCTTAACGACCGTTCCACAGGTGCATGTTCATTAATTATTTATGGTTCATTGAACAAGCATGGGAAACAGTGTTTAAACCCTTTACAATGAAGATCTGTGAAGTTATTTGGATTTTTACGAATGATCTTTGAAAAAATGGGATGTTTCTTTTTCTTTAGTTAATTTTTCTCTTTTTTTTCTTTTTTTTTCTTTTACCTTTATTTAACAAGTCAGTTAAGAACAAATTCTTATTTAAAATGACGACTTACACCGGCCAAACCCTGACGACGCTTGGCCAATTGTGCGGCACCCTATGGGACTCCCAATCACGGCCGGTTGTGATACAGCCTGTAATCGAACCAGGGGGTCTGTAGTGACGCCTCAAGCACTGAGATGCAGGGCCTTAGACCACTGCGCAAAAGTTTCAACACACCTACTCATTCAAGGTTTTTTCTTTATTTTTTACTATGTTCTACATTGTAGCATAATAGTGAAGACATCAAAACGATGAAATAACACATATGGAATCATGTAGTAAACAGAAAGGTGTTAAGCAAATCAAAATATATTTTATATTTGAGATTCTTCAAATAGCCACCCTCTGCCTTGATGACAGCTTTGCACGCTCTTGGCATTCTCTCAACCAGCTTCACCTGGTATGCTTTTCCAACAGTCTTGAACGAGTTCCCACATATGCTGAGCACTTGCTGGCTGCTTTTCCTTCACTCTGCGGTCCGACTCATCCCAAACCATCTCAATTTGGTTGAGGTCGGAGGATTGTGGAGACCAGGTCATCTGATGCAGCACTCCATCACTCTCCTTCTTTGCAAAATAGCCCTTACATAGCCTGGAGGTGTGTTGGGTCATTGTCCTGTTGAAAAACAAATGATAGTCACACTAAGCCCAAACCAGATGGGATGGCATATCGCTGCAGAATGCTGTGGTAGCCATGCTGGTAAAGGGTGCCTTGAATTCTAAATAAATCACAGACAGTGTCACCAGCAAAGCACCCCCACACCATAACACCTCCTCCTCCATGCTTTACGGTGGGAAATACACATGCGGAGATCATCCGTTCACCCACACCGCTTCTCACAAAGAAACAGCGGTTGGAACAAAAAATCTCAAATTTGGACTCCAAACCAAAGGACACATTTCCACCAGTCTAATGTCCATTGTTCGTGTTTCTTGGCCCAAGCAAGTCTCTTCTTCTAATTGGTGTCCTTTAGTAGTGTGTTTTTTGCAGAAATTCGACCATGAAGGCCTGATTCACACACTCTCCTCTGAACAGTTGATGTTGAGATGTGTATGTTACTTGAACTCTGTAAAGCATTTATTTGGGCTGCAATATCCGAGGCTGGTAACTCTAATGAACTTATCCTCTGCAGCAGAGGTAACTCGGGGTCTTCCATTCCTGTGGCGGTCCTCATGAGAGCCAGTTTCATCATAGCACCTCATGATCCCAAACACACCGCCCGGGCAACGAAGGAGTGGCTTCGTAAGAAGCATTTCAAGGTCCTGGAGTGGCCTAGCCAGTCTCCAGATCTCAACCCCATAGAAAATCTTTGGAGGGAGTTGAAAGTCCGTGTTGCCCAGCGACAGCCCCAAAACATCACTGCTCTAGAGGAGATCTGCATGGAGGAATGGGCCAAAATACCAGCAACAGTGTGTGAAAACCTTGACCAAATACTTATTTTCCACCATCATTTGCAAATAAATTCATTAAAAATCCTACAATGTGATTTTCTGGATTTTCTTTTCTCATTTTGTCTGTCATAGTTGACGTGTACCTATGATGAAAATTACAGGCCTCTCTCATCTTTTTAAGTGTATATATATATGTGTATATATATTATATATGTGTATATATATATATATATATATCTTTCTCTCTCTCTCTCTCTCTCTCCCACCCTCTCTCTCTTTTCCTCCCCCAGAGTGATGGAGCACGCTGACTCCAACCGAATGTCGACCCAGAACATCGGCATAGTGTTTGGTCCCACCCTGATGCGTCCGGAGCGGGACAACGCTAACATGGCCATCAACATGGTGTATCAGAACCAGGCCGTGGAGCTCATACTCGACGAGTTCGACCGCATCTTCGGACCCAACAACTCAACATCCCTCTGACACCCAGTCAGCCCAGAGCACTGAACCCATCCAGCTCCAAGGACCCAGTCAGCCCAGAGCACCGAACCCACCCAGCTCCAAGGACCCAGTCAGCCCGGAGCACTGAACCAACCCAGCTCCAAGGACCCAGTCAGCCCAGAGCAACGAACCCACCCAGCCCCAAGGACCCAGTCAGCCCAGAGCACCGAACCCACCCAGCTCCAAGGACCCAGTCAGCCCAGAGCACCGAACCCACCCAGCTCCAAGGACCCAGTCAGCCCAGAGCACCGAACCCACCCAGCTCCAAGGACCCAGTCAGCCCAGAGCACCGAACCCACCCAGCTCCAAGGACACAGTCAGCCCAGAGCACCGAACCCACCCAGCCCCAAGGACCCAGTCTAGAGCCAAACCAGCCTCCTAGCCCATCCAGCCCTCATCCCAACCAGTCTGAGCCCCAGGCCCGACCAGCCCTAAGTCCAACCATTCTGAACCCAACTCAGTGACTGAACCATCTTGGGACACAACCCCTATGGTAACCTGTAACAACTTGCATTGAACCCACCCAAACCCAGCCTGAACCAAACACAGAGACCAAAACCAGTAGAACCAACAGAACCAGTACACTGTGAAACCACACCAGCATCTCCTCATGATGTCTCCTTAGCCCCTGTAGTAACAACCTAATTCACCAGCCTAGTTCACCTCACCCCACGGTAAGGAGAAAAGCATGGGTAGAGGTAGGAACAGGAGGAAAAGCCAATATGGATGATATGTCTCCACAGCTCCGTTAGTAGTGTAGTGGGAGCACCAGCTAACTCTGCCAAACAAGCAACAGCAACAAAGCTGTTGACTCTATGTGCCACTGTCTATAAACGGTCTACAATAAAGTGAATGCAAAGTTTTCAAATTCTATCCTTGTCGTACTAGACTTGTGTCGAACCTGTGTCGTGGCTGGAGAATGCATCCGGACTTCAAACTTCAAAGGACTTTGGTTTTGTTATAATGGCAAAGCAATAGGACTGAAATACTTATATTATGTACCTACCTTTACTGAAAAGTATGTGTAGACCTTTGAATCTCCCTGCTGTTATATATAATATTTCATGTGTATTTCAATTTTCATTAAAACGTACTGATTTATTTTGTGAAAGTTTGCACGTAAGTGTAATATTTTACCATCAACTTTCACTTTGGAGTGTCCCTACCAGATGAAAACAGATGAACTGGCGATAAAGCAAACTTAAAGTAAGAACTGCTGTGAAGTAGACAGTTAAACAACATAAAACATAACTTTGTTGTATTATTTCCTTCAATAAAAAACGTGGAGTAAATGACTTGAGTGCTATGTGATACTACTTCAGCTCATTAATCAGTCAAGTCATGGTTTTGGGTTGTCTGTTGTCGAACAGCAGGCCTGCGTTCAAATACTATTTGAAATTATTTCAAATACTTTATCTGTGCTTGATTGAGCTTTCCTGGTTTAATGGACCATAGAATAGTTCAAAAAGTGCAAACCCTGCCCACCTGGCACTCCAGGCAGGCTAATGCAAATGCTGAAGTATTTAAAATGATTTAAAATAGTATTTGAACTGACCCAGGTCTGTTGAGGAGCAATGGGTTGTGTTAGCATGAGAGATACTGGAACTGTGGAGGTATGTACGCCTCTGTAGAGACAGCCAGGGTAGACAGCTCCCCTGTGATTGTTGGAAACACTGCTTTTAATAAACTGAACAAAAGAGGAACTAGAAATGCATATGTAAAAAAAATAAGTGGATTTTCCTCAAACAAACTCCCTCTGCGGGTTTGGTACTTTTATATTGACTGGTTTGGCAGGAGAAGACAAACAATAACAAGAAGGAATAGAAGAAAAGGAAAAGAAAAGAGTGTGCGTTTGATTTGGATGTTTTATATGATATATTCATTTTTATTTTCTTATTATTGCAAGTCTCATGGGAGAGAGAAAGGGGAAGGGGGAAATAGTTTTTTGTCACCAGAGAAGATTTGACTGAAGTAGGGTCATTATAACTTTTGATAATGGGAAGAAAATGTTGTGTATTCCAATCCTTTTCTGTTGACACAGTTGCCCCATTCCGTTTCAGTGCTTGTTCTATTTTTTTGGATAGTCCATCTGTAGATGCTCTACATACTATCTACAGACAGTAACATTTCAACTATCTACTAACCCTAACCCTAGCCCTTAACCCTTTTTCTAACCCCAAACTTAACCCTTACCATAACCCTAGCCCTAACCTTAACCCTTACCCTAACCCGTATTCTAAACATAACCCTAACCTTAACCTTAACCTTAGCAAGCAGTTGCTTATCAATAGATAGTTTGTTGATAGTTTGACCATCTGTAGAGCATCTACAGTTGGACAATCCGGACTATCCAAATGAAATGTGACCTTTGTCACAATTGCATTGAGGACCACAACCATTTTGGAGTTGGGCAACGTATAGGTTATGTAGGTTATGTAGGCATATAGATTACTTTATAACTTTGCTTAGATTATTAGGCCTGCCTGCCTCTAATATCTGACTTCTACACTCAACCCAAAGTTAGTGTTGTATAATATTTACATATTGTTTGAAAACCTCTTTCTAGAATTTATCAAGTTTGTGTTTTATTCCTAAAATGAGAGTTCATATATTCACTGTATTATACAGTGAGCTCCAAAAGTGTTGGTACATTGACACATTTTTTGTTTATTTTAGCTCTGTACTCCAGCACTTCGTATTTGAAATGATATAATGACTATGAGGTTAAAGTGCAGACTGTCAGCTTTAATTTTAGGGTATTTTCATCGATATCGGGTGAACTGTTTAGAAATTACAGTACTTTTTGTACATAGTCCCCCCATTGTAGGGGACCAAAAGTATTGGGACAAATTCACTTATGTGTATTAAAGTAGCCAAAAGTTTAATATTTGGTCCCATATTCCTAGCGCCCAATGATTATATCAAGCTTGTGACTCTACAAACCTGTTGGATGCATTTGCTGTTGTTTTGGTTGTTTCAGATTATTTTGTGCCCAATAGAAATTAATGGTAAATAATGTATTGTGTCATTTTGGAGTCACTTTTATTGTAAATAAGAATAGAATATGTTTCTAAACATTTCTACATTAATGTGGATGCTACCGTGATTACAGATAGTCCTGAATGAATTGTGAATAATGATGAGTGAGAAACTTACAGATGCACAAATATCATACCCCCAAGACATGCTAACCTCTCACCATTCCAATAACAGGGGAGGTTAGCATTTTGGATGGTATGATATTTGTGCATCTGTAACTTTCTCACTCATCATTGTGTGCCCCTTTCCCACAGTGAAGTATATGAAATGCTGTGCCTTTAACGTATACGCTGAGAGTCAGAAAGCAGGTGTAGAAGGTGAGTTTAATACGGAACAGATACAAAATAACAAACATGGGATGCGTACTGAACGTGATGGAGAACCAATAACACCTAAGGACTGATGACAACTGAGGGCTAAGTAAAGGGGGAGTAATCAGGGTAGTGAAGAAGTCCAGGTGTGTCTAATAATGGGCCGCAGGTGTTCATAATGATGGGTTGCCAGGACCGGTAGTTAGTAGACCGGCGACGTCGAGCGCCGAAGCAGGAGTACACGTGACAGTGCCGTAATGCAGAATTTTAATTGAATGGCCTTGGAAACGCAAGCCAATTAATCTTGGAGACGCAAGCCAATTGAGATTACAAGCCAAATCTGGGCATAGTGACAGTGCGCTGTAGAATGTTTTAATTTCAGGCCGGACTTTTCTCTGTTTAAAAAAAGAATAATCATGTTACGTACTGTATTATCCACTATTGTTAGCCACCATCAGTAATACCCACACATTTTTTACTGTCACTTTTGTGTTATTTCCCTTCAGTTTGTAGGCTACATTTGGCATCATTCCATACATTGTTAGTTTCCCTTTCTTTCCTCTGTCACGTCGGTGTGGTTGATCCTCAGGATCGCTAGCAACAGTGGATAATATTTAACTTATAAGATGTTGTTCAGTAATTTGGGACATGTAGCCCACTTCACGGAACCATCTTGGAATACAGACCAAGCCTGGCAGTTTAAACCTGGAGCATGGTTTACGACGACTGGACCATTGTCATATCAGTTACATGATCAGTGAGGATTAGGGTACATTTATAGGACTATTGGTCAACTTTGATTGTTTTCTCCCTTTCCAATACTTAATTGAATGAAGAACTGAATGACAACTTTCAGGATTAATCAAACCACTGTATTTTTGATTTACCAATATATTTTCTGCGTAAAGGCTCTCCAAGTAGGTAGATTCCTAAATACATTCCTAATCCTAAATCAGCTACAAGATCAGATCATTTTTAAATCTACCAATTGATGCGGAAACGGAGATATTATTAGGCCTATATTTTGATGGCTTTCTTTTATTGATCCCTAATATTCTGCCACATGTTTTAGAGTAAAACATCTCCACTATCTCTGAATCATCATGCAAATTCTGTACACGTAGTCCCCCTGAGCAGAGAATTGAGGTGGTGAGGGTATCATATACCGTAAGAGGGACCTGAGATATTTTACCAAAACCTCATAGGCCTACTGTGAACATTGTGATTGGTTTATCCCTGAAGCTGATAATGTGTGGTCCTATCCAGTGACGCAGTTTGTGAAATAATTCATGAAAGGGTAAAGCAATATGTACATTTTTATTACAAATATATCCACAGGTTAAAAAACAATACTAAATGTAATTCAATACAAAAGGCATAGCTGAGTTGATAGAAAATACAGCCTGATAAAAGTATGTTTGTGCAGATATAAATTCAGAGTTCAAAAATAATATTTGCCTTCTTTGTTCAAAAAAAGACAATTACTTTGTCCAAAAAAATTAACAAAAGCTAATTTCTGTTGGCACTATTATGGCTCCACACAGGTAGTCTGGCTGACATTATTCATTTGACACAGTGCAGGAAGAGCTGTGACACCAGTGGTGTCAGTTCTGCTAAACCTATGTTATTTTTTTTTTAGAAGGTTGAAGCTCATTTATTGCATTTCTACACAATTGAAAAACTCTAAAATGCTATTTGAAGAAAAGAAACAATGTCAACCACTACTCACCCATAAATTGAATCATTTACTTGTAGAACAGCGAATACAGTGAACGTGAAGTAGATGCATAATACACGCTATTAAGTCATAACAAGGCCGACAAAAAAATGCCAACATCAATGTGAAAGTAACCGGTGCAGAAAACTATGCCAGATAAATCCTACATTGAAATAAAAGGCATAGCCTACATCAAATGACTTACTTAGGCCTAGAATCAACAAGGATGCATGAAGACAAACAAACTCGACCAAAGAATTACGAAAGTCACGAAATACAAAAGGAAAATCTACACATGCCTTTTTAAATGTTGCTAAGGCCGCGCCTGTGATTCAGCACTGCTGAACGGACAGCGCCTCCGTACAGGTAGGCATAGTGGAGCTTCATGGCGTGGTGCTGAATGGACACCCCTCTGTCTAGGAGCCAGCTCTAGAATGATTTCGTTTGTGTGCAGTTTTTTGGGAACCATGATGTTTTAATTAACATCTTTATTTTGCATTCAAGCCTCAGTTTTTGATTTCTTATTTTGTATCGACAGTGTGCAGGTTTCCATCTCTTCCAGTTTGTGGGCAGTTAGACATTTTTTGGGCACAGTTAGGTAGCCTACAATACATATATGAAAATCATAACTGGCACGCAGATCTTTAGAAATGGAACGATCAATTGTAAATTGGCACTCCACATGAAAAAGGTTGCTGACCCCCTGCTAAAGGTTCAACCTATTCTCAGAGCATTTCGAAATCTTCTGTAAGTAAATCGAGACTCTCGTTTTAGTATGATATGTTACGTTTTGTATGGTATGTATTAATTTGTGGATGTCCATCAACCATTTTGTATGATATGTTACGAATTATAATTGGTATTATATGTTACGAATTTGCTAAATGTACAATATGTTACGAATTTTCAAACAAATTATATGTTATGAATTCTAGCTAAGTGGCTAGGTGGCTAACATTAATTAGCTCTCTAATGTTAGCTAGGCTATGGGTTAGGGTTAGGTGTTAGGGTTAAGGTTAAGTTTAGGAGTTAGGTTAAATGGTTAAGGTTAGGGTTAGCGGAAGGGTTAGGTAAAAGGGTTACGGTTAGGGTTAGGTGAAGGGTTAGCTAAAATGGTTAGGGTTAGGGGAAGAGTTAGCTAACATGCTAAATAGTTGCAAAGTAGCTAAAAACAAGTAGTTGAAAAGTTTATAATTAGGTAAAATGCTAAAATTGTCCATGATGAGATTCGAACTCGCAACCTTTGGGTTCCTAGACATTCGCGTTATCTGTGTTGAGATTCGTACTCTCAACGTCGACCAATCAACCCTGACCAACCACCCTCCTTTTGTTTTTGCCTTAGGTAACATTTGTCTTATGTAAGGTTATATGAAGCCACCCCTGTGGAACGACGCATAGGCCTACACTGTACCATGACAGTGTCATTGTCTAGTGTGCTTCGCACCAACATTGTCTCATTGCGCTGCATTCAGAGATGTTCCTCATGTGTGCGCCCAGTTCATTGTTTAATTTGCATTATTCGGCAGGGAAGGGAAACATTCTGCGAATATTGAAGAGTTATATCAACGAACAAAGCGGCTCAGAGAATATTTAAACATTTTGTATCAACAAGGCGGCTCCGAGAATATTGATTGCAACCACAGGAGATTGGTGGCACCTTAATTGGGGAGGACGGGCTCGTGGTAATGGCTGGAGCGAACCAGCTTGTCTGTCTGATATTAGTTGCACTATCTGGGTGATTATTATATATAAAAAATATAAAAAATAAAAACTACATCCATACTTTAGCTAAATAAGTAGCAATATTTTATGACGTTTTGCCATCAAGATTGATCTGTAAGTATATCTCATTTTAATTGAGGAGATTGGACAAGCAAGACTGATAGAGTGAGAGGTGTAAATGCATTATACCAGAAGCAGGTAGGCTACAGGTAGGGATGAGGGATGCAGCCAGAGAATGATGATGAAGTAGGCCTACAGGAAGAAGTTAAAAAAGTTAGCCCAACTAAATCATTATGATTTGCATTATCTCATTTATCATTCTGTCACTGCATGACAATGTACATGTGTTATAGCCTACAATTGTTAATGTCTTTGAAGCCAAAAACAGGACATATTTTCGGGGAAATGCTCTAAATAGCAAGTTGTTCAGTTGTGTTTATTTTCATACCAATACCTGAAACCAAAATTGTACTAGCCTACTGGGCAAATGAATGAAAATATCAATTAGGCTACAGTTATCACAGCCTATATTGTAATAGCAATAAAATAGCTTTTGGTTTCGAAAGGTCACCAAAAAGGAAGGCTCCTTCACCTCCCAATTCCCAATTCAATTCACCCATGGCTATCAGATTACAAAAAGGTTTACAAGGCCGAGTTCAAATGCCGACATCAAATTCAAAGGAATCGGCGCACTGCCTAAACGGCTGACTGGCAAAGCAAACTGCCACTGTCTCTGCTCTCTGCTTTCTAAAAGTGGGAGAAAAGGGCGCAGGCTGGCAGTTGCTCTCCAAGCGATGCTCCACATGGTCCTAAAGCCAGCCTCTTAAACAATAAACAGCTGTTGCATATTAATCGGGATTGGAATGATTTTAGTAAATTTTTAAATGTTTGGTCTTGAGCTAGGGAATGACGGCCCTGTGTGATACACTGGTCTGGACAGGAGGCCGTTATAAATGCAATATTTGCTCAAAAATTGACTGGACGAATTAATTGGTTCTCTCAAATGTTAGTTTTTTTCCTGTGGAGTTGAGACCTCATTGTTTGGATTTTAAAAATTTTCAACAGTTGTAATGGAAGAGGGTGGGCTCGGGGGCTGTGCATGTGGGTGTTTGAGTGAGAAAGACACGGAGGAGAACCAATCAGTAAAAGCACAGCCCCCTTCATTATCAACGCATCGTGCTGACAACATCAAAACAGCCTTTCCAGACTCTGAAGTCAGGAAGACTTCGCATTAGATGTTAGCCAGACTACCACACAGGTACAGTAGTCCAGTATGTACTGGAGACGTTGGCTTGGTCACGTCTCAGCTCTCTGTAACTCAGTCTTATCCACCGTAGCAGAGAAGTTACAGATGCCTCACAGTGGCTGAATACTGTATATCCGAGGCAGTTTTCACATGGACTACACCACAGTCAAATAGAGGAAGTATGAAGATGATAAATGTTATAGAACTGTTCTGAGACCTTGCTTGACTGTCGCTGTGGACACACCCATAGAAATAGAGACTGAAAGAATGGGAATGTCCAGTTCTAGTAATTCGATTTCTATGGTTACACCAGCACTGCTTTCATTGTGGTGGCATATACAGTTGTGCTAATGGCACCCTTGCACTTTACAATGGAGCGCAATGGATCAGAATGCTTTTCAAAACTGGTTAAATGGCTATTTTTACCCTGTTGCCACTTGCTACTTACCACAGGTTTGATCAATTACACAGTAAACGAGAATCACCTGCCTCCAACCAAATTAATTAGAATTCTGAATAATTTAGTCCAGGCCATTTGAAGTGAAAAATCTCAATTCAGTTTTGATTAAAGGCCCAGTGCAGTCAAAAACGTGATTGTCCTGTGTTTTATATATATTTCCACACTATGAGGTTGGAATAATACTGTGAAATTGTGAAAATTATGATAAGGCCCTTTTAGTGTAAGAGCTGTTTGAAAATATCACCTGAAATTTCTGTCTGTTTCGGTGGGATGGAGTTTTGGCCTGCCTGGTGACATCACCACGCGGTAAATTAGTTAATAGACCAATAAGAAAGAGAGTTCCAAACCTTTTTGCCAATAACTGCTAGTTTTCAGTTTTCCCCTCCCCACTCCCAGACTGTCCTAGCAAAATTCTTGCTTAAGAAATTGCTTTTTGCTAAGAATCTATTTTTTTTATTGAAAATTGAAAACAATCACAGTAAGGTACTTAATTGTTACCCAGAAATTATTTGATATTGAGATAAAAACTGTTGCATTGGACCTTTAAAAACAATCTTGGTCCTGTGCAGTTGTTAACCAAACAAATAAATGTGTGAACATTAAAAGTTTTTTCAAATTCAGAAGAAATAGTGAATCATGCAAGGGTGCTAATGTATTCGAGTGCAACTTTAGTACGACCTACACTGTGGTAAAAGCATAGTACTGCACTTATATTTCATACAGCGAGACAATGTATTTGCGTTTTGCTAATAGAGACAAGGCAACTCCACTCCATGTCTGTTAAGAGATATGGAGCATTTTGTGAGGCAGTACACATTTCATTTATTTGCTCCTTCTTCAAAGAAAACAAAAGAAAACAATTTTATTTTTGATATATATACACTCGTTTTTCCCTTGTGTGTAGAAATACTGTAAGGCATAGAGACGTCGATTCACTTTACAAGGCTTAGGGTGGCTTTCATTCAACATTCAACTTCCTAATGGCTCAGTGTAAAAGTCAGTGACCGGCTTCCCTGTTGATCTTTTAGTTACTGTATTAGCCATTCAGTAGTCACCATGGAAACCCAATGGTAAATCTGTATTTGTATGGAGATACAGTATATGAGTGCCAATATAACTAATTTACATAATTTGGCACTAATCTATCTGCATACTAATGTCCATAATTAATGCGGGGCTGACCACAGTCATAATGGATATATCCTAAACCAATTTGTGGCTTTGTCAAAAAAATAATACATCTTTAATCCTTTATTCTAATTTGAATAATAGTTCTTATTTATTGCTTATTCTTTTTAAAACACAGAGGTCAATTGTTTGACACAGAGAGACATCTTAGTCTTTGGAGAATATGATGTAAAATCTAATATATAAACCTTCAAAAGTGAATACATGTATTGGCAAATAAAAAATAATGTATTATACTGATAAGGCAACTGGAAACACATTGAACAACACTGCTTCCTACAGAACAACACGAACAACATCACCTTGCAGTGCATACTCCTTTACCTTTACCTTAAACCAGTCGTAAGTGGTCAACTGGTAGCTGTGGTGACCGATATGTAGTGGTCAATATTGTGGATTCTCACATACTGACCAGCGTGAATATCATACCCATGGCTCTTACTGTGCACTTTATGTTATGCTATCTGTTTATGTGGTCCTTATTTTGGTTGTGTTCATATGGCTTTGCATTGGAAGTCACTTACTGTACCTGTTTAGTATAAGTTTAGCTTTATTTTGAACAGTGCATTTTTAAAATATATTTTCACACAGCTCTTAATCATTATTTGTACATGTAGCTGGATGCATTGTTTTGGCACACTTGTCCACTGTTGTCATTGTGACACTGGAGCTTCCGGGCTCAGCTTGTATGTGTCTGTGTTCTGGTCTCCATTTTGTTCCAATGAGTCTTTGTCCCAGTGATGGTTGGTCTCTAGTCTGTGAGTCCCTAGACCAGCACTCTCTCTCTCTTCATTGTGTCTGCCAACCTGCTCTCTGTCTCTCTCCCTCTGTTCTCTCTCTCTGTCCCTCCCCACAGGGGACCCCTCACCAGACCTTGACCTTGACAAACTACATGCCTCCTTCATACTTCCGCCTTTAGTCTCGTCTGTCTCGTCCTCCTCTTCTTCATCTACTCTCCCTCCTATCCCCCCGTCTAGACTGGAGTCACTAAAAAATGTTGGGGTGTCCTCCATGGAAAGGGGGGTGTCCCCGGCCATGTGGCCCAGATCGGTGGACCCTCCTGTGGTAAGAGAAAGCTCCTCACCCTCCTCCGGATCCTGGTGCAGGCTGCAGTAGGCATACCGATGGTTCATGTGTTGGGAGTAGGAGCCGGAGTGGGAGAAGCGCTTGCCACACTTGTCACACTGGTAGGGCTTCTCTCCAGAGTGCAGGCGGCTGTGTTCAATTAGATGGTGCTTGTGCTTGAAGGCCTTCTTGCAGATCTTGCACTCGTGAGGACGCTTACCTGTGGCAATACAACAGAACAGAGCCAGATGTGTAACTGTGGCAATACAACAGAACAGAGCCAGGTGTGTAACTGTGGCAATACAACAGAACAGAGCCAGATGTGTAACTGTGGCAATTTCTTGATCTACCTTTCTATTTTTGCAATTGTTAAAGAACCTTTATGTGTATGTAGTTCAGTTCCTTTTTCTGTTTCGGATAACATCTGCCTGATCATGGAACACTTTTGCTCACTTTAGCAATACAACAGAAACATGCTCTAGCAATATAAATCATATGCTTCAAAATACATTTTAACAAGTGAGTAAGATAGTTACAGTAGACTCTGTACGTACCTGTGTGCTCGTACTTGTGTCGGAGCAGAGAGCTGCTCTTCTGGAAGGTTTTGTCACAGATGTCACAAGCGTACAGGCCTTCGTCTGTCTTCTTTAGTCTCTTCCTCCCTGGTCCCCCCTCGCCCTCTCCTCCCTCCTCCATCAGAGAGAGGTAGTCCAGATCCCCACGGCCCATCACCTCACCCTGCAGGACACACATAGATTTATAGTCCGAGAGGTCTCTCCCCAACGGGCAAATGTTTGGCAAACTTTTGGCACATGACATCTTGAGGATGTTATTTTCAAATTGTAAACTGGTTCTGACTGAGAAGAGATCAACCAACTGGTCTCTATTAACCAGGTTACGCCATTTTTTTCATGACAAGATCAATGTGAAATCCATTGTTTGGAATATCTAACGCTTGGCGGTAACATGAAATACAGTTACACTGTTGGAAGTAACATGTACAGTATTTGTCAGCCCATCTAAGAAAAAACATTAATTTTACCATTAATCTCTCCTGGTGGATCCTCTTCAGCACAGCGTCTGTGTCTGACTCCATCACGTAGGTCATGGGTGAGAGGAATCCCTGGTTGCTAGCTGGACGGCTGAGGGGCAGGGAGGGGACCCCTTCATGCCCTGAGCCAGCTAGCCCAGCAGGCATCATGGGGTTAAACAGAGGGTAGACACTGTAGATGGAACCCCCAAACATAGGAGCGCCGCTGTAGACTGCAGGATGCTGGTGGGATTAGAGTAGATTAGATTGACGTTTAAGGAGGGAATTCTTAGCAGAGCTCACACATTAAATACATAAACTGCATAGAAACACAGCAGGAAACAAACAACAGTACATAGTCAGACATAAATAGTACCCCCTCCTCCTGCACACACACCCGGTTTACTTTATTAGGATCCCCATTAGCTACTGCACATGGGGCAGCTACTCTACCTGGTGAGGAGGTGGACTGAGACTGAGACTCAGCCTCCGGTGGTACTGGTTCTCTGCTGGGTCTCTCTGGGTCTTCTCTCTCTTCTCTCCCCGGTGAGGGTGTCCTTTACAGGGCTTGCTGTCCTCTAGGGCTTTCTCCTCCTGGGGCTTGGGGAGGGAGAGATCCAGGGGTTGGTCATTCTCGGAGCTACCCGACCGGTGGGTCCTTCCCTGGGGGGCGACTCGGCTTGCAGGAGTGGCGAGGATGGCAGTGGACAGGTCCAGGCAGAGGTGCGAGCCGAACCCTGAAGAGGGGACCCGTCTTCGCCCCAATGGGGGAGGGGATGACATGTCTGTAGCAGGGCTGGTTGGTGCTGGTTGGCCAGGGCTGCCGCCACTCTCCTGGCTGGACCAATAGGACCTCATGGCAAGTGAGTCTGGGCTGGGCTGGAGGGGGGAGTGCATGGCGACCAGCAGCTGCTGAGGGACAGAGTTCCAGCTGGGTCTCTGGAGAGGAGACTTGTCTTTAGGGAAACCGTTGGTCATCATTGGGGGTTTGTGGTTATCTGGTGGTGGTGGGTGGAGAGGGGGTCTGGTGGAGAAGTAGTAGGGAGAGAGGTGGTTTTTTCTTTGAGGATCCTCAGACACCTCCATGGCCTTCCGGTAAATCTTACAGAGGTAGCGCTCGTGCTGGAGTAAGATGGCGGGGCTGGGAAAGAGCTGGGAGCACCAACGACATGTTACCCCTCCACCTACCCCCTGGGGCTCACCCGAGCCAGCACGGTCGCGTTTTAGTTTCAACGGACCCTCCGGCGATGCCATCCCGTCTCTCCCTCCATTGTGAACCCCCAGTCTCCCCTCCTCCCTGGCTGAGACAGAACCCCCCTCCTCCCTGTGCAGCATCTCCTGCAGCATCTTCTCAAACTTTCCCCCAGAGCTGGCATGGAGATACGGCAGCAGGGTGGTCCCCTTGAACACGTTGGCCCGGAGAAAGCGCTCCGGCGCGGGGTCCCACCGCCGGCCCATCTCCCTGCCCAGCTCCTGGCCCCGGAGGAGACCCGTACCATGGTCTCCAGTGAGGTACAGGTTCCTCTCTAACCCCATTGGAGGACGTCCCTCCTGGTTGTGGGGAGGGTAGGGAGAGCCCATCCCACTTCTGTTCCTTCCACTACCTGCAGAGGGCGACGCAGGGGAGGAGTAGTAAGCCCCATGGTGGCCATGTCCGTTGTTATAGCTCCCCCCTCCTCCTCCTCCGCTGCCTCCTCCTCCGCTGCCTCCTCCTCCTCCGCTGCCTTCTCCTCCTCCGCTGCCTCCTCCTCCTCCGCTGCCGCCTCCTCCTCCACTGCCTCCTCCTCCTCCGGTCAGGCACTTCTTACTGCTGAGGTGTGAGCTGTAGGAACCGGAGTGAGAGAAACGCTTCTTGCAATTGGAGCACTCATACGGTTTCTCACCTAAAGGAAGAAGCACAGATACGGAATATCAATCAAAGATACTACAGTTCAGAAAACATTTGATATAGACTTTATAGAACAATTTGATTGTCAAAAAACATATAAGACTTTATAGAGCAGATCCTGCTCTTCTGCCCTCCTATCATACACCTATGTGCACATAAGGCGCTATCTACAGTGAGGGAAAAAAGTATTTGATCCCCTGCTGATTTTGTACGTTTGCCCACTGACAAAGAAATGATCAGTCTATAATTTTAATGGTAGGTTTATTTGAACAGTGAGAGACAGAATAACAACAAAAGAATCCAGAAAAACGCATGTCAAAAATATTATAAATTGATTATCATTTTAATGAGGGAAATAAGTATTTGACCCCCTCTCAATCAGAATGATTTCTGGCTCCCAGGGGTCTTTTATACAGGTAACGAGCTGAGATTAGGAGCACACTCTTAAAGGGAGTGCTCCTAATCTCAGTTTGTTACCTGTATAAAAGACACCTGTCCACAGAAGCAATCAATCAATCAGATTCCAAACTCTCCACCATGGCCAAGACCAAAGAGCTCTCCAAGGATGTCAGGGACAAGATTGTAGACCTACACAAGGCTGGAATGGGCTACAAGACCATCGCCAAGCAGCTTGGTGAGAAGGTGACAACAGTTGGTGTGATTATTCGCAAATGGAAGAAACACAAAAGAACTGTCAATCTCCCTCGGCCTGGGGCTCCATGCAAGATCTCACCTCGTGGAGTTGCAATGATCATGAGAACGGTGAGGAATCAGCCCAGAACTACACGGGAGGATCTTGTCAATGATCTCAAGGCAGCTGGGACCATAGTCACCAAGAAAACAATTGGTAACACACTACGCCGTGAAGGACTGAAATCCTGCAGCGCCCGCAAGGTCCCCCTGCTCAAGAAAGCACATATACAGGCCCGTCTGAAGTTTGCCAATTAACATCTGAATGATTCAGAGGAAAACTGGGTGAAAGTGTTGTGGTCAGATGAGAACAAAATCGAGCTCTTTGGCATCAACTCAACTTGCCGTGTTTGGAGGAGGAGGAATGCTGCCTATGACCCCAAGAACACCATCCCCACCATCAAACATGGAGGTGGAAATATTATGCTTTGGGGGTGTTTTTCTGCTAAGGGGACAGGACAACTTAACTGCATCAAAGGGACAATGGACGGGTCCATGTACCGTCAAATCTTGGGTGAGAACCTCCTTCCCTCAGCCAGGGCATTGAAAATGGGTCGTGGATGGGTATTCCAGCATGACAATGACCCAAAACACACGGCCAAGGCAACAAAGGAGTGGCTCAAGAAGAAGCACATTAAGGTCCTGGAGTGGCCTAGCCAGTCTCCAGACCTTAATCCCATAGAAAATCTGTGGATGGAGCTGAAGGTTCGAGTTGCCAAACGTTAGCCTCGAAACCTTAATGACTTGGAGAAGATCTGCAAAGAGGAGTGGGACAAAATCCCTCCTGAGATGTGTGCAAACCTGGTGGCCAACTACAAGAAATGTCTGACCTCTGTGATTGCCAACAAGGGTTTTGCCACCAAGTACTAAGTCATGTTTTGCAGAGGGGTCAAATACTTATTTCCCTCATTAAATGCAAATCAATTTATAACATTTTTGACATGCGTTTTTCTGGATTTATTTGTTGTTATTCTGTCTCTCACTGTTCAAATAAACCTACCATTAAAATGATAGACTGATCATGTCTTTGTCAGTGGGCAAACATACAAAATCAGCAGGGGATCAAATACTTTTTTCCCTCACTGTATATAAGATTGTACAGTTCCTACAGTACCTTATTTGACACAACGTAAATTTGACAGGATTGATTTGGATTGTCCTTTTCCTTACCACTGTGGATGCGGAGGTGCTCTTTGAGATGGTGTTTGTACTTGAAGGCTTTTCCACACTGAAGACACTTGAACTTCCTGCTCTCTATGCCATGGTCAGACCCAGGGTGCTGCACCAATCACACAGAGACACAATCATACATACAGTCAAATCAGTAGGCCTGCCTTCTAGAGATTGAGAATCAGCTCGAGATTGACATTGCATATCATGCCTGTTCAACAGTCAAACTAGATGAACTAACACAACACTATTTTCAGAGTCATTAGATCGCTGGTTCATATCCGGCTCAAAATACCATTAAAAAGAGTGCCACCTTGTAGTAGATGGACTCCAAAAGAATGACTTTATATTTCTCCCAGTCTCTCACCTTATCCTCTTCCTGACTGTGCAGTGCCATGTGTCGTTCTATCTGTGCCCTATAGTGGGCAGTGTACCCACAGACCGGGCACACCATGTGCCCCCCGTCCCGCTCGTGGCAGAACTTGATGTGCTCGCGTAGAGACGCACCGCGGTGGTAGGTGCGCTGGCAGAAAGGACACGCCTGAAGGTTCCTCATAGCATCAGGACTCAGAGGGACGCCATCTAGGGTACACACACACCAGAGAGAAAGAGGGTGAACTAAACCATCACGAAGATACAATGTCCAGTCCTCAACCTATATCTACAAACGTATATCTATAGGTCTCTAAAGAAAGGCTTCATATTTTCCCCCCCTGCAATTCTGAAAAAAGTAGCTCTATGAATCTTGTAGAAAGCCTTACAGGCCGTATAAGCAGAGATTACGAGAAAGGTGTTTGTGTGAAAGCAGACAGACAGTAGTCTACCTGGAAAACTAGCCTTATTAGCATGCAGTAGATAGAGATGTGCAGTGTGTTTGTGTGAAAGCAGACAGACAGTAGTCTACCTGGAAAACTAGCCTTATTAGCATGCAGTAGATAGAGATGTGCAGTGTGTTTGTGTGAAAGCAGACAGACAGTAGTCTACCTGGAAAACTAGCCTTATTAGCATGCAGTAGATAGAGACATGCAGTGTGTTTGTGTGAAAGGACACAGAGAGCAGCCTACAGTACCTGGTCTCTCAGGTGAGTGCTGCGCCCCAGGAGACCAGATGGGAAGGGGGTCATCGTGGAGGTTCAGGCTGCCAGGGTGATACATGGCTGGGGCTGTAGCGCTGCCATTAGGGGCCTGGTGGGGCTGGTGGTAGTGGTGGGAGGCAGGTTGGTGGGAGGATGCCTTTCTCAGCTGCACCAGGAAGTCATAGTGGGCCATGTCCTCCAGGGCCTGACTGTCTGACCTCTGACCTGCTGGGCAAAAGAGCGATAGGGGATAAAGACGTGTGCCGTGCCTAAGAATAACCCAAAAATAAACCATAGACTTTCATGCCCTATTGCTTAAATATGATATGTGTAATGATATGATATGAACAGAGACTGTGAGCAAATCCCAAATGACAGTATTTTATGTGTAGTGCATTTCATTAATAGTCAACTGGTCTGGTTCCATATCTAGTGCACAAAATGGAACAGAGAGAGAGAGAGGGCACATTCACAATGACACTATTTTCTATGAAGTGCACTACTCTGGTCTAACGTAGTGCACTACATAGAGAATATTTCACCATTGTTTAACCCTCTTAGATAAAATACATAGTTACACTGTGTTTTGAATTTTATGAACAACTATGAAAGCGAGAACTTGTCTGCTCTGGGCATCAGCAGGGATAGCCCAGAAGCTTTTCCCATTGAGTGCAATAACAGGCAGAGAAACCCACAGATGTAATGTAATGTAAAAATGTATGCGCACGTAAAAATGTATGCGCACATGACTGTAAGTCGCTTTGGATAAAAGTGTCTGCTAAATGGCATATTATTATTATTATTATATTATTAATGTAAAGAGAAGAAGACAGACGAGAGGGCGCTCTGCTTTCTATCACAATCAGAGTGCTCTGCTCTGCACTGAGCTGCCTGCCTGTGACAGATTTTTCAAATGTTTGCAGATGTTGGCATATTTCGATCTGTTCTTCATGTGGTGAGGGAAGCGCCTGTGTGGTTGAGTGTTGTAAAAACTGGGCTTTGCATTCATCAGGCACAGCCAAATCACATGAGGTGAGAGAGGAGAGAGGGAGAGCACTCTGATTGTGATAGAAAAGCGTGTGTGTGTGTGTGTGTGTGTGTGTGTGTGTGTGTGTGTGTGTGTGTCTGAGCTAAATGAAAGGGAAAGCTTCTCAGATTCTGCTCCATTCTGATTTCGGTACGGTTAATGTCACCTCTTTGATGCATGGAAATATTGTGACATTGTGGTGGGATGACTCTTTTGTTATGCTGCAGCATATTCAAAGACCATGTCACTCAATAACTTATACAGTCCATTCGGAAAGTACACAGACCCTTTTACTTTTTCCACATTTTGTTACGTTACAGCCTTATTCTGAAATGAATTAAATAGCCCCCCCCCCCCCCCATCAATCTACACACAGTACCCCATAATGACTAAGCAAAAACTGGTTTTTAGAAATGTTTGGAAATGTATTAACAAATAAAAACTGAAATATCACATTTACATAAGTATTCAGACCCTTTACTCAGTACATTGTTGAAGCACCTTTGGCAACGATTACAGCCTTGAGTCTTCTTGGGTATGACGCTACAAGCTTGGCACACCTGCATTTGGGGAGTTTCTCCCATTCTTCTCTGCAGATCCTCTCAAGCTCTGTCAGGTTGGATGGGGAGCGTTGCTGCACAGCTATTTTCAGGTCTCTCCAGAGATGTTTGATCGGGATTCAAGTCCGGGCTCTGGCTGGGCCACTCAAGGACATTCAGAGACTTGTCCCGAGGCCACTCCTGCGTTGTCTTGGCTGTGTGCTTAGGGTCGTTGTCCTGTTGGAAGGTGAACCTTCGCCTCAGTCTGAGGTCCTCAGTGCTCTGGAGCAGGTTTTAATCAAGGATCTCTCTGTACTTTGCTCCATTCATATTTCCCTCGATCCTGACTAGTCTCCTAGTCCCTGCCTCTGAAAAACATCCCCACAGCATGATGCTGCCACCACCATGCTTCACCGTAGGGATGATGCCAGGTTTCCTCCAGACGTGACGCTTGGCATTCAGGCCATAGAGTTCAATCTTGGTTTCATCAGACCAGAGAATCTTGTTTCTCATGGTCTGAGAGACTTTAGGTGCCTTTTGGCAAACTCCAAGCGGGCTGTCATGTGCCTTTTACTGAGGTGTGGCTTCCGTCTGTCCAGTCTACCATAAAGGCTGATTGGTGGAGTGCTGCAGAGATGGTTGTCCTTCTGGAAGGTTCTCCCATCTCCACAGAGGAACTCTGGAGCTCTGTCAGAGTGACCATAGGGTTCTTGGTCACCTCCCTGAACAAGGCCCTTCTCCCCCGATTGCTCAGTTTGGCTGGGTGGCCAGCTCTAGGAAGAGTCTTGGTGGTTCCAAACTTCTTCCATTTAAGAATGATGGAGGCCACTGTGTTCTTAGGGACCTTCAATGCTGCAGACATTTTTTGGTACCCTTCCCCAGATCTGTGCCTCGACACAATCCTGTCTCGGAGCTCCACTGACAATTCCTTCGACTTCATGGCTTGGTTTTTGCTCTGACATGCACTGTCAATTGTGGGGCCTTATATAGACAGGTGTGTGCCTTTCCTAATAATGTCCAATCAATTGAATTTACCACAGGTGGACTCCAATCAAGTTGTAGAAACATCTCAAGGATTATCAATGGAAACAGGATGCACCTGAGCTCAATTTCGAATCTCTTAGCAAAGGGTCTGAATACTTATGTAAATAAGGTATTTCTGTTTTTCATTTTTAATACACTTGCAAAAAAAATTTAAAAACGGTTTTTGCTTTGTCATTATAAGGTATTGTTTGTAGATTGATGAGAAAAAATATATATTTTAGAATAAGGCTGTAATGTAACAAAATGTGGAAAAAGTCAAGGGGTCTGAATACTTACCGAATGCACTGTATATACTGAACAAAAATATAAACGCAACATGCAACAATTTCAACGATTTTACTGGGTTACAGTTCATATAAGGAAATCAGTCAATTGAAATGAACTCATTAGGCCTTAATATATGTATTTAACATGACTGGGAATACAGATATACATCTGTTGGTCACAGATACCTTTAAAAAAAAGTTGGGGCGTGGATCAGAAAACCAGTCAGTATCTGGTGTGACCACCATTTGCCTCATGCAGCGCGACACATTTCCTTCGCATAGAGTGGATCAGGCTGTTAATTCTGGCCTGTGGAATGTTTTCCCACTCCTCTTCAATTGCTGTGCGAAGTTGCTGAATATTGGCGGGAACTGGAACACACTGTTGTACACCTCGATCCAGAGCATCCCAAACATGCTCAATTGGTGATATGTCCGGTAAGTATGCAGGCCATGGAAGAACTGGGACATGTTCAGCTTCCAGGAATTGTGTACAGATCCTTGTGACATGGGACTATGCATTATAATGCTGAAACATGAGGTGATGGTGGCGGATTAATGGCACGACAATGGCCCTCAGGATCTCGTCACGGTATCTCTGTGCATTAAAATTGCAATCGAGAAAATGCAATTGTGTTTGTTGTCCGTCGCTTATACCTGCCCATACCAGAACCCCACCGCCACCATGGGGCATCTGTTCACCACGTTGACATCAGCAAGCCACTCGCCCACACATCGCCATACACGTGGTCTGCGGTTGTTAGGCCAGTTGGACGTACTGCCAAGTTCTCTAAAATGACGTTGGAGGTAGCTTATGGTAGAGAAATGAACATTAAATTCTCTGGCAACAGCTCTGGAGGACATTCCTGCAGTCAGCATGCCAATTGCACACTCCCTCTAAACCTGAGACATCCGTGGCATTGTGTTGTGTGACAAAACTGCACATTTTAGAGTGGCCTTTTATTGTCCCCAGCACAAGGTGCACCTTTGTAATGATCATGCTGTTGAATTAGCTTCTTGATATGTCACACCTGTCAGGTGGATGGTTTATCTTGACAAAGGAGAAATGCTCACTAACAGGGATGTAAACAAATTTGTGCACAACATTTTAGAGAAATAAGCTTTTTGTGCATATTGAACATTTCTGGGATCTTTTATTTCAGCTCATGAAACACTTTACATGTTGTGTTTATATTTTTGTTCAGTTTAGTACACTACTTTTGACCAGAGCCCTATGGTAGTAGTGTACTATATAGGGTGCCATTTGGGATATTTGGGACAAACAAATCTCGGTTAACCCAGAACTAAAGTCTTGCATAATTGGTCAGATGCTCGATTAAGTTCTTGTCCATATATGTTAAGAGAAGACATAGAACGAGTATCTGAACCAGAACAAAGAGCTCTATGGGCCAAATGTCCTCTCCCCTTCCAAAATTCGAAAGATGCAAAAACCTGCAAAATCGTGATTTGTCCGAACCACCAGAACTAATACTGCTCATTATCTCATGACAGATCTAATGTACCATCCATGTTTACGTAGTCTGTCCATGAGACAATAGCGACAAACCAAGACTGAAGAAGAAAAAGTGTGAACTTTGTTGATAAGCTTACTATAGGTCTTGAGTGATCCATGCTCCTTCTCGCCATCCATGTCCTCCATGGTTAGCCCACTCCCAGGGCCCTCCTCCTCAGCCTCCTCTTCCCAGTGGCCCCCTCTGGGGCTGGGGCTGAGGCTTAGGTTGTGGGGCTGAGTTGAGTGGCCCCTAGGGCTGGGGCTGCCTTCTGGCTCGGTCCCCTCCCCGTCCCCCTCTCCCTCGCTGGGGGTCAGACTGGTCTTGTCCAGGCTGGCCTGGTAGTCCTGGACCTCTAGGCTCCACAAACCCACCTCATCACCATCCTCCCCCTCCGAGCCCAGTGAACTGACCTGCTCAATGTCCACTGTCGAGAGTGAGTGAGAGAGAGAGAGAGAGAGAGAGAGAGGGGGGGGGGGGGGAGGATTTTATTTCACTCTCTTTAGAATCTAAAATGAATTAAGAGTCTACTTCTATTGCCTTAATACCAGAGGAAAGAAAGTACTATAAAATTACAATATAAAATAAACCTTACATTTAAAACCTTGCAACCATGTAATTACCCTCAATAGTTATATTATTAGTTCAAGTGGTGACTATTTTCAAAGGGTTAATAGAACTCTCCTCTTATTGTTGAAGTTGTGTTACTGACATATCTAACACAGGTGAAAGAACAGTTAAAAACACAAAATGCACAGAAATAACTGGAGAGTGTATACAACAGCATCATAGTGTGAGAATGCTATTTTATCCACCGCCACATTCTCCCATCGTGGAGACAATAAATTATTATCAAACACACACACATGCAGGCACGCACACACACACACACGCACACACACAAATTTGAGAGGGACCGTAAAAGCCACTTTCTCCCATCGTGGAGACAATAAATGAGGATCACAAACACATGCAGGGGATTTCAACTGTAGACTCGTATTTCCCAAACTCCTCTGAGGTCTCTCTCTTTCCCCTCACTCTGATTGGCTAATCATTACCACATAGAACCATACATTCACTTTGATGGGTTTATATACATCATTGCATAGAACCCTTTACTTTTGAACAGGGAGCTCTTTTAGGCACAGCGTTGGCACAGGAAAATATGTGTTTATGTATGTCTCTTTTTGCGTCTCTGTGAAACTGTGTATGTCACTTCAAACAAAAACACGACAGTTCATAAACTATTAAATTCAGGGGCACAACTTTCACTGGGGACGGCGGGGACATGTCCCCCCCCCCCTCCACGTTCTGAAATTGCATTTTAGTCCCCCCCAGTTTTATCATTGGAATGTGATACAAAACGGGTCAACGGTGTGCTTTAGGACCATGCGGACGCCTCCGAGCGGTCGGGTAGGCTGTTTGGAGTGTTTATCCGGCTGAATTTTAAAAAATAAAATTAAAAAGTTATGTCCCCCCCACTTCTAAAACCAAACTTGCGCCCCTGATAAAATTAGAACTCACACATGGTTTTGTAGAGCATGTGTACTGTATGTGTACAGACATTGAACGAAAGTGTTGCATCAGAATTATGAATTGTAGCTCAGTTGGTAGAGCATGGTGCTTGTAATGCCAGGGTAGTGGGTTCAATTCATGGGCTCACCCATAGGTAAAATATACGCAGGCATGACTGTCAGATGCTTTCGATAAAAGCGTCTGCTAAATGGCATTTAAATATATAAAGTGGGAATAATTTTCAGCTTTGCTATGACTGCATTGGCAATATCTAATCATTACCACATAGAACCATACATTCACTTTGATGTGTCTAGCACTGCAGAGAACCGTTCCCTTTGATGGGTTTATATACATCATTGCATATAACCCTTCACTAAAGAGCTCTGATGTGTGTGACTTTGCCAATGTTTTCCACAGGATACAGTATGTGCTGAATTGGCACTGATAGGAGCAGTGTTGGCAAAGTGAACATGTGATCCTACAGTTTGTTAACTTGTGTAAAACTCCTACTGTTCATGTGACGTCAAATGAAGTCAAACACAAACAAAATATGTTTTGTTATAAACACAAACATACGTTGTAAACATAAACACAAAGGTTGACACCCTATAACATGAGAAGTCAGAGAGGGGTTTGTACAGTACATCATGTGTACAAACTTTGAATGAGATTTTTAATTATTTACTTTTATGAAGTCATGGAATTAATCACTGGCCTGTATTCAGTTCATATGCATAACCTTACTGAACACAGAGTGAAAGGGTTGCATGTGAATTACTTGCAGCTTTGCTATGAGTACATTGTAACAGGCTATTGATGAACCTGTGTTTTATATTTCAATCTCCAAGGAATGACTCCAGGTATGACTGGAATTCTATTCTCTTCTCTTTTATTTAAATTGAAATGACCCCCTAGGTTTCTATGTCTTATGTTTGTGATTGTGTTCACACACAGTGAGTAAGCAGATGAGTTCATGTTTGGGGAGCCCACTGCCATTTTAGAAGAAGAAAGTATTGGTCAAATGAGTAATCTCGATGGGTCACACTTGTATCATTCTCACTGACTGCATATACAGAAGAGCTGAGGTGACTAAATTCAGACATGACCTTTACCGTTATGACTGTGATGCTTTGACTGTCGTGAAAAAGTGGGCTGGTGGGCTCGAGGGGCAGCCCAGAAATGCAGCTATTTAATTTCCAGCATCCTCAGCTTCGCTCTGCTCTCTCACAGTAAATGCATGCTCCGGCTGAATTTCACTAGTCATAAACTCTGTATTAAAGAAGTTTACTCTTCACTGCCCTACCAGATATTAGAAGCACAGAGGGAGATATTGATAGGCCTCCTCTGTCTGTCTAATCACGGAAGCTAGTGTCAGTACTGTCAAGGTACGACTGACACAACACCACAGCACAGTGATGTAGATATGAATATGGTGAGTGTTATTGTTCTCAGACAGTCTTCAAAACAGTCCCCTGAGGGCTGACTGATCGACAGCCTCAACCATGATGCAGCAGAGTGTAGCGCAATAAAAGGTTACAATATGACTCAGGCATTCCATCCCACGAAACATGCAAAATGGCAGTTGTCCTTTGTTCTCAGCTGTGTTCTACTCTCCAATTCCTCTCCTCTCCTTCTCCCTTTCACTCCTTCTCTCCTCTCTTCTCCTTCCCAGCCCTTGCACTGTTCAACCTCTCTTGGATTTATTGGTTCTTACTCAATATAAAAGAGTCTGTGAAGAATGCACTCGCTATCCAAATAAATAAATCAAGTGTGCAGATAATGAAAGCCATCCCCAGGTCAGGTTGTGCGATGCTGCTTTAATGACAGCACATGCAGTGCAGTGTCACTCACTGTTATCGGAGAGAAAATTAAATCCAATTTGGGAGGTAATGTGGACCAGACCAGAATTCTCCCTCTCACTGGTAGGTTGGGGACTGACTGTATGACTGTGCCCAAATGGCACCCTACTCCCTACATAGTGCACTACTTTGGACCAGAGCCTTATGGGCCCTGGTCAAATGTAGTGCACTATATAGCAAGTAGGGTGTGATTTGGGATGTACTATATGTCTTACAGAGAAATCCCTGCAGGGATAAGAGTCTCGTCTCAACAACATGCTGTAACATGGACCATATAGTTGTACCTCCCTCCCTCCCGTCATTTCAGGAAACAGATTTGATCACAATTTCATCCCCTGTAAAAGGAATGTAATGTAGTCTCTCTGTCTTTCCACAGCTCAGCTAGATCTCAGTGAAGGGAGATACAGTAGGAGCTAACAAGCCTAACTCTGGAGCCATATACCGTACTGTAGCAAGATATTATACAACGTGGTGTGGCAACAAAGTTGACGTTAAATTTGACTATATGCGAGTTTAAATTTAAAACAATTCTGCAGCCTACTCCATTCTCTGTCAGTCCGTCATTACAAAGGTGTATAAATGCATTATTACCAAAACTTTTTGGGAACGCAGCTGAATACTTGCTTTGATAAGTCAATTAAATTGGTACTGTTCATACATGAGATAAAGGTCCCTGTAACTCTGTTATAACCCAACAATAAAGCATACAGTGAGGTCCAAAAGTATTTGGTCAGTGACACATTTTTTATTGTTTTGTATTACAGATGAGTGAGAAAGTTACAGAGGTATAAATATCATAACCCCCCCCCCCCCCCCCCCAGAAAAAAATGCTAACCTCCCCTGTTATTGGTAATGGTGAGAGGTTAGCATGTCTTAGGGGTATGATATGTGTGCCTCTGTAACTTTTTCACTCATCATTATTCACGATTCATTCAGGATTATCCGTAATCATGGTAGCATCCACATTAATGTAGAAGTGTTCAGAAACCTATTCTATTCATATTTACAATAAAAGTGACTACAAAATGGCACAATAAATGATTTACTAGTCTACTTTAGTCTACTTTAATGCACATATACAGTGGGTTCCATAATTATTGGCACCCTTGATAAAGATGAGCAAAAAAGACTGTATAAAATAAATAAATGCTCCAAACATTTGGAAAATTAAATTTTTTATACTAATACACCTGCTCAGAGAAAGAGATTTAGTTTAAGAAGTAAACAAATAAATTCTAAACAAGATAGGTCTAAAAATTATTGCCACCGCTGTTTTCAGTACTCCAGCACCTTACCCTTGCGAGTATAACGACACCAATACTTTTCCTAAAATGTTTTATGAGATTGGAGAACAATATAGCCCCATAACATCAAAGATGCACCACCACCAAATTAATAACAAATTGGTGGTAAAATATGGTGGTGGATCTTTGATGTTATGGGGCTATTTTGCTTCCACTGGTCCTGGGGCCCTTTTTAAGGTCAACGGCATCATGAACTATACCAAGTACCCTGACTTTTTAGCCAGAAACCCGGTTGCCTCTGCCACGAGGGTGACGCTTGGCCGCAAATTGATCTTCCAGCAAGACAATAACCCCAAGCACTAATCAAAATCCACAAACAAATAGTTAATTGACCACAAAATCAAAATTTTGCAATGGCGATCTTAGTGTCCGGACTTGAACCCTATTGAAAACCTGTGGTCTGAATTAAAGAGGGCAGTCCATAAGCGCAGACGAAGGATATAAAGGCTCTGAAGAATTCTGTGTGGTCTAAGATCCCTCCCAACGTGTTCTCCAATCTCATAAAACATTTTAGAAAAAGGCTCAGTGTCGTTATCCTCGCAAGGGGAGGTTGCTAGAGTATTGAAAACAGGGGTGCCAATAATTTTGACCACAACATTTTATTTATTTATTTTTATTACTTTTTAAACAAAATCTCTTTCTCTGAGCAATATTTCTCAAAATGTT